AATCCATGGGCTACATGTCTTTTACTAGCCTCGTTTCTGATATACATTCTTAATTACTATAGCCTTGGGATTTTTATTTTTAAAGCCTGTTGCCAGCTCTTGTAGTTTAAAGGTAGCTCAGAGTCAGTGATGTCCTCAAGTCAGCTTGTTATTTTAGCCTCTGCAGTTTAATGCAATGCAGTAAAAGGAACTGACATCTCTAAAGATTATTCTTTAAACCACAATCTGAGAGGAAAAATCAATATGGAGACAAAACAAAGTAGTAGGGAGAAGGAGATGATTTATCTATCTGTATTATACACACACACACACACACACACACACACACTCAACTTTGCACAATTGTATAGACATTACTCATGACACACACAGACACCTTTATTTAATAGGCTTTCCCCTTAAGCTGAAGAGCCCCAAATATTGTGGCCTGCCCTTTTCTGCATGTTGATCCAGAAGTGGAGCATCTCAGCTCTAGTGCCTACCACAGCTGTGATCCTATGTGCCTTTTTTAATCAGAAATACGTCCCACTGCATTCAGTGGGACTTACTCTGAAATGAGTTTATTTACCTACATGGGAATATGTCCCACTGAACTAAGTAGGATTTACAGTACTTCTGAGTCCATTGGCTCTCTCTCAGTAAAGAACAGAAAGAAGGGAAGAAAAATGAGTGTGGATGCTTTGTGTAGTAAAAGGTAAATGTAAAGAACCTCTGGACAGTTAAGTCCAGTCAAAGGTGTCTATGGGGTGCAGCACTTATCTTCAGGCCGAAGGAGCCGAAGTTTGTCCACAGACAACTTTCCGGGTCATGTATGACTAAATCGCTTCTGGCGCAATGGAACACCATGGCAAGTGCCAGAGCGCATGGAAACACTGTTTACCTTCCCACCACAGTGGTACTTATTTATCTACTTGCACTGGTGTGCTTTTGAACTGTTAGGTCGGCAGAAGCTGGGACAGAGCAACAGGAGCTCAGCAAGCCCAAGAGGCTCAGTGGTTCAGACCACAGCACCACCTGCTCCCCTTTCTGTTTGGTATCCAGCATACTGTGCGTGCAAAAGAAAAAGTTCATTTGTGCTTAAAGGTGGGTTTGAAAGCCTGCTCACAGCAGTGGAAAGTCTGATATGTCAACATTTACAGTCTCATGAAATTCTGACTGTTGTCACAATTGCTTATTTCTTAAAAGTTGAGATAAAATATTCCTTCAGGCATATGATTACTATGTGTCCCCTATATCCATCCTATTCAAAGAGCAATTTCTGTTGCTTTGTACCTTCTCTCCTGTAGCGGGTGTAGGCCTATGGGTCTTCATATACAGCAGAAAAGTGCACCCAAAGAACAAAGAAGAACACAAACTTCAGCTCATCACAGAGTCAGCTTTATTGGTCCGATGTTGCGACCCTGGGCTATAACCATATATCAAGATTATGCAGGCCCAAGCTGCAGAGAGCTTCATTACGTACAAAAATAAAAAAGAGCTTCAGTAAGGCTGCTGGAACCTGAAAGGAAAAACAACAAATGGATCAAACTATTTTCTGAAGTACCCAGGCTATTATAGTTTTCTATATTGCTGTCCGAAACGGAAACATACAAGCAGGGGAGCCAAACAAGGCCTTGACAATTAGAGGGGCTTCTATGCTCTACGTGCCTGGGAAGTTGTCCTCATAATTTGTGCCTTTCGTTCTTGCTTTTTAAATTTAGATTGTTGTGACTAACGGTAAGGGGCAGACAAATGCAACTACCTGATACAAAACTGCTCACTATTGCACATGTTGCAGTTCGAAGAGCACTAAGAGAGAGAGGCTCAGCAACTGTATTTTACTGTGCAGATGCCGATAGGTTCACATCATTTTGTTACCTGCTACATCCTTTGTGAAGTAGTTGCAATATGCTACACAAGGCTTTGTCTATATTCACAAGCATGCCTGGTAAAAACTCAGCTTTAGAAAAGCCAGAACTCTACACATTAAAATAGAACTATTAAATAAGCACCAGACAGCCTACTATATGGTGTGTGCACCCTATATCCATATCCTGGGGAATACATTTTTCTATAATCTTTCCTCCCACAGAGAACTTTCCATTTCTAAACTTCCATTGTTTTGCAAGACAAATTAGTAACATAATTGTTGGACACAATACTAATCACATTTGCAGTTTTAAACAGTTGCAAAGCAACTGCTTCTGGGAAGTATGAATGCACACATAATAATAGAGATCCCTAACATGTCTTTGGATTACTGCAGTCCTTTAGCCAGCCAAAGACAGGCGGAGGGGCCTTAAGAAGCAGTGTGGGTCTTACTGCACTGGCGACATGGCAACATCTACCCACTGGATACTCCTGAGTAAAGCTCTGCCATAACAGATGTACAGCCAGCGATATTCTGGCAGTTGTGGGAAAAATAAGGCATTGGAGGTGGTGGTAGTAGCGATAGATCTGCAGGATCCAAAGCTCCCTCACTCCCCTGACATGCCTGCAAAATTGGCTCCACACTATCTAGCTCTGGGGCTGGCATAGCTATTTTTCCAACAGGAGGGGGAACTCCTCACCACCACCTGCCCTGCCCATAGCAGCGGTTGTTCTGCCAAAGAACCTGCCCCTGCCCAAAACATGCTTAGCCATGTTTAGTATCTCAAAAATTTTCATTGCCTTCATTTCTCCCCCTTACAATATAAATGATTGTATGGAAGTATGGAAGTCTTAAAATAGTTGCACATTTTCCAACAAAGTGAATACCAAACTGAAACTCTGAATGTTATTTCAATATAACATTTAAACCAAATTAACAATTCAATCCTAATATTTTCTGGGAAATTCCCTCAAATTCGTTCCAAAAAACTCTCATTGTGGAATCAGGTATTAATTTCTTACCTGAGAAAGCTCCTGACTTTGTTACACATAGATTCCAACCCATAGCAGTAAGAAGAGTACTCCAAAGCCCATAAAGAGTGAAGCAACCAGAGAGATGAGCAGTTCCTTGTAAATGTCCCGGGTGTACTTGGTCGAGGTCACTTCATATCTGAAATACTAGTTAAAGTAGTAAACCAGAGACTGAAGAGTGGAGAAAGCCCCAGCAATACACAATGAAAAACCAACACTTTTGCAAAAGGTCATGACATTTTTGTTTAACAGGGTTGTCATCCTCTCAGCTGCCCCAGCATGCAAAAATTAAGCAAGAAAACATAACAGAAAAAAATTCTTGTTTAATTGCAGTGTGACAAACTGCATACAAGGAATAAAATTAATTAAATGAAATTTCAGGGAAAAGATAGCAACTATCCCACAGCATCAGGAACAGTATCAAAGAAAGATCTGATGCCATTAAACATCAGTCACCAAATTAGAAGACACTAAATGAAAGAGTTTCCCAGTCCAGACATCAAAATAGGCTCTTTTTTGTGCAACGTGGGAATGCCCTTAAGACAATCACCTGGTGCCAATTTTGCTTTCAGTCTGCTGCCAGACACAGGCATTTTTATTTGTCTGAACTTTTAAGAAGCAATAGTAACTTACTGCATAATATTTATAAATCTTTTGCTTAATATTTATGCTGACTTTCTACTCCCCTTCATTTGCTTATATGCATCTTATTACCCTTATGGTACATCATCCTAATCGTTTTGCTAAACGAAGGCCTAAAAATAATTTAAAACAGTAATTCAGAACCAGCTGCACCCTAGATGCTGTTGGTCACCATCAGCCTCAACCAGCATGGCGAATGGTAAGAGATGGTGGGAGTTTTGTAGTCCAGCAACATATGCTGAGACAGCTTTCCCCACCTTTTTAAAAATAAGCAAAGGTACAAGCACCTCCCCCAGATCTCATTAAAGCTAACCCCACAACCCTGTGGGTAACTGAAACGTGTCTGGTGCAGGCCTCTGGACACTCAGCAGAGCCGCTCTGGGCTGGAAGAGGATACACAAAGAACCAGGCGGTGAAGAACATGCCGATGGCCAGCAGGACCACTGTGAGGTGTGGAAACACAGCCGGGTTCACCGGACTGGTGTATCTGCTCATTGTCTCCAGCTCCTGAAATTGAAAGAAAGAAGGAGAGAAGTGAAATAACACATTGTCACCAGTATTTATAGCACGCACACAGATAAAGAACCTGCGTTGGCCTCCATCTCCCACCAGCCCCTTCCAGCATGGCTAAAGGGCCGGGAATGATGGGAGATGCAGTCCATCGAAACACCTGGAGGGCAACAGGTTCCCCAACCCCGATTTGAAGGAGATATCTCGGCGAGGGAACAGAGGAGGTGGTAACAGAAACACCATTTATTTCTCCCTCCCTCCCTCTCTGCTGCATTGAAACCGGGCCATTTGCGCCCGCCGTCCGCCCCTCCTTGGCTCTCTCGGGATAACCGAGCAGACCAGCACCGGGAAGGCGCGCAAAGGCTGACAAAGGGGCGGCTCCGCTCCGGCCGGCCCGCTCCCTCACCATGGCTCTGTCCGGCGCTTCCCGTGGCTTCTCCTCACAGGTGGCGGAAGGACACGTCTCTTCTTCCGGCGCAGGCTCAGCCCTTTCCCCGCCGGAAGTCCGACTGTCATCTTCTTCCCCCACCCCCTCCGGACGAAGAAGGAGGAGGGATAGAGGCCTCACGCATGCACGGCCTGCTGGGAATTGTGGTCCGTTCAGACCTCTGAAGCGGGCCACCAGGAAAAGCCGGTGAGCGCGTGGACTACGTTTCCCAGAAGCCAGCAGGCGCCTCGCCCGCCCTGCCTTCTTTGATGCTCTGAGCGCGGGATTCAGAAGGCGCCAAAAGGGAGGCGCTGATTGGCTTAGCTGAGTCCTCAGCCGGGTCTTCGGTCGCGCGTGGCTGCGAGGAAGCAGGTGGCAGTGGAAGGTACCCCAAATACCAGCCCCTCGCGCGTTCTGCGTGGCTGGGAGGGGAGAGGTGGCGGAGGAAAGGGCCGGCTGGGAGGGAGCCGCTTTCGCCCTCGCCCTCGCCCTGCCGCGGCCCCGGCCAGAAACCTGCCCCGCAGGGAGGGAGGCTGGCGTGGAAGGGCGAAGGCGGGAAGTTGACGCAGCAGCCCCATTACAGTCAGTGCGGGACAGCTGGGCGGGCGGCGTAGGCCGGCTCTCAGGGTCCACTCGGAGGTCAGTCCCACGGAGTTCAGCGGCACTGGCTCCCCGGTTAAATGCCTGCGAGACCGCAGTCTGAGACGGGCGAAACGAGTAAGAGTCCTCTGGGTTGGCTGTCTCTTATTTTGCTTACTTCTGAACCACCAACTGGATTTAAAAAAATGGTGGTGGTGTTGTCATCCTCTGTCTCGAGAGACAGTGGAAGAGTGTGCACTATCGGGGGTGAAGTCAAGCCCTTGGAGGAGAGTTACAGCACCTGCTTTGACCTATATGGGAGATACACTACTGTATTTAATACAGTGGTACCTCGGGTTACATACACTTCAGGTTACAGACTCCGCTAGCCCAGAAATAGTACCTCGGGTTAAGAACTTTGCTTCAGGATGAGAACAGAAATTGTGCTGCGCGGCAGCAGCAGGAGGCCCCATTAGCTAAAGTGGTGCTTCAGGTTAAGAACAGTTTCAAGTTAAGAACGGACCTCCGGAATGAATTAAGTACTTAACCTGAGGTACCACAGTATTGTGTTGGAAGCCGCCCAGAGTGACTGGGGAAACCCAGCCAGATGGGCGGGGTATAAATAAGAAATTATTATTATTATACATGCTTTGTTGCAGCTGGGGCATATGAAGGGGGCAGGGGTTGAACTGCCTTAATGCCCATTGGAAATAATAGGGACCATGAATGCCAGTTGAACCGTGATGTGACTCCATTCAATTAAAGCAAGAGATGGATCCTGAGAGACAATTAGATGTGTTGCAGCAATAGGCCACATTAACAGTGGGCAGGAAGAAATAATGGAGAATAGCAATGACAGTCCCTGGACCTTTAATTCTAGTCCCAGATACAGTCAGTCATTCCAGTCCCAGGTTTCATTCCTCAGTTGATGTACCTCTGTGTCCCATTTGGTTTCCATGGGGTTCTATGGCAGAATAAGGGTGGCATATGAATGTAATTTACATTCCTTTGAGAGGAAGAGCAAGATATAAATTGGAAAAAAGAATAAATTCCTTACCCTATTTGTAATTTGCACTTCTTTCTCTGGAGTCTGTACATAATCAATTAGTGAGCATAGTTTTTTTAACCTATTTATAGTGTATTTATAGTTTATTACAATTTTGTTGTATGTTGCCTTGAGGTTTCAGTGTAAAGCAATAAATAAGTTGTTGTTCATCAAAATAATAACCACTACATGGTAATCTTAGATTGGCAGGGAAAATTATACCTTGATCCAACAGCTGAACCTTTTGCTTTCTTGTCATTTTAAATCATCAGTTCACGCCTTCTGTTTTGCTTTTTAGGTTTCTCCCGTGTTGTATCATCACAGAAGCAGACTGCAACTGGAGCTGAGTTACCAGGATGGGAATCCATGGTTTGGCCAAGCTGATTGCCGATATAGCTCCTGGTGCCATTCGAGAGAATGACATTAAGAGTTACTTTGGCCGGAAGGTGGCCATTGATGCGTCTATGAGTATTTACCAGTTCCTCATTGCTGTAAGGCAGGGAGCTGACATGCTGCAGAATGAAGAAGGCGAGACCACTAGCCACCTGATGGGGATGTTCTACCGCACCATCCGCATGGTGGAAAATGGCATCAAGCCTGTCTATGTCTTTGATGGCAAGCCCCCACAGTTGAAATCGGGGGAACTAGCCAAACGCACCGAGCGCCGAGCTGAAGCAGAGAAGCAGTTGCAAGAGGCCAAAGAGGCAGGTGAGGAGGAAAATGTAGAAAAGTTCAGCAAGAGGTTAGTGAAGGTGACCAAGCAGCACAACGATGAGTGCAAGAAGCTGCTGACCTTGATGGGCATCCCTTACGTTGACGCACCTGGCGAGGCTGAAGCTAGCTGTGCTGCACTGGTGAAAGCGAGCAAGGTCTATGCAGCTGCTACGGAGGATATGGATTGCTTGACCTTTGGTAGCCCTGTGCTGATGCGGCATCTTACTGCCAGTGAGGCAAAGAAGCTGCCGATTCAGGAATTCCACCTGAGCCGCCTCCTTCAGGATTTGAGCCTCACGCAGAAGGAGTTTGTGGACCTTTGCATACTGCTGGGCTGCGACTACTGCGAGAGCATCCGCGGCATTGGGCCGAAGCGGGCCGTGGAGCTGATCAAGCAGCACAAGAGCATAGAAAAGATTCTCCAGCAAATAGATGCCAAGAAGTATTCTGTGCCTGAGAACTGGCTGCACAAGGAGGCCCAGCTGCTCTTCCTGGAACCTGAAGTTGTCGACCCCGAAGCTGTGGATCTGAAGTGGAACGAACCAGATGAGGAAGAGCTGGTCAACTTCTTGTGCGGGGAGAAGCAGTTCAACGAAGAAAGAATACGCAACGGGGTCAAGAGGCTGAACAAGAGTCGCCAGGGCAGTACTCAGGGCCGATTAGATGACTTCTTTAAGGTTACTGGCTCCATCACTTCAGCCAAACGCAAAGAGCCAGAACCCAAGGGATCCGCCAGGAAGAAAGCAAGGGGCGGTGGTGCACTAACATCAAAGTTTAAAAGAGGGAAGTAAAATTATTTTCTAGAACTCTGTACCAGTTCCCTTCCACTGCAGATGCTTGGAGCGAAATATATTAAACTTCAATTATAGAGCTTTGTGGTAATGTACTCTGTAGTGCTCAAAATGTGAGTTATCGTCAGGCCTTGAGCTCAGCTTAAACTGATGCATGGTGGGAGGGACACTGTTCTGACAAAACACCTGACACTGCTAATTGCTGGCCAGAGATCCAGCCAGTCTGAAGGTTTGCCCTGCTCTCGAAGGACCCAGAGGGTGCTGCTGTTGCTGCCTTGAGTCCGGTGAACTCCATACATAGTATAGGTCCATCTTTGCTGGGAGTACTATGTTGAGATTTTAGCTTTTGAATTGTATCTTCCAATAAATATTGATAACTATTGATAACTAAATATTGATTACTACTTCTGTGTAAGCTTGTCAAAATGAAATCGGTGAGACTGAAATAGAGTTGCTAGAACTGTCTGCAGCACAATTCAAGATTGGTGGGCCAACAAGAGTTTGCTAAGGGAGCTGTTCTGCAACCTGGTCTGTAGTTTAATACTTGCCATATAGGATCTGGCTGCTACTCGCCTCAAATGGCATCTGTCTGGTTTTGACCCTCTTCAGTGACATTCAACATTGCACTAAGGAAATTAGTCCATGGGGCAAGCAGAAATGCTTGTGCTGACGGAACAAACTCCCTTCTCCCCTTTCTGGGGGTTCTTCCAACTGTCTGGAGCAGATCTGGGGAGTTGGTGAGGGATCTGTTGCACTTGCCAGAATTGACTTCAGCTAAGGAAATTGGAGTTCTTGTTGAAAATACACTGAAAAGGATATACCAAGAGCTCTGGCCACAAGTTTCAATATAAGGAATAATTCCTACTCGAGAGTTGAAAAGAAAAACGTGTATATTCTGCTAAGAATAACAGTTTGAAGCTAATAGTAAATTTGAACACAACGTGTAAGTACGATAGTTTTAAGGTAATAGTAAATTTAGATACAACGTTTAAGTGCAGAAATAATGTAGTTTCAAATATGCAGTGATATAGTATAAAGGTACATAAAATACCAGTACACAACAATTGTTTTATACAAGTCTCAATGGCAGTCAAAAAGAGTCCATATTATATAAATCAAAATAAAGAATAAAGAATCAAATAGGGCCAAAAAGGAGTATCCGGAGTGTGAATCAGATGTACGACTCAGTAGTGGTGACCAGGACAGGGCCCTGTTTCGGAGTAAACGCCTTCTTCAGCTGGTAATATCAAATAATATGTCAAAATAGATCAAGGTTCTTCAATACCATAGATCATAAATATAATAAAGTATATACATACTAAAGTGTATTAACACATATCATGATATTTGGTTCCATACCTCGTTTTTTTGAGGACTATATGCGTCTAGAAATAAGAATTTACAAGAGTTATTATTTCCAGTCAAATTTCACCAACAATTTGACTGGAAATAATAACTCTTGTAAATTCTTATTTCTAGACGCATGTCGAAAAAGAAACATAAAAGAATTAAATGATATAGACTTCCAACAGATTTATAGTCCTCAAAAAAACGAGGTATGGAACCAAATATCATGATATGTGTTAATACACTTTAGTATGTATATACTTTATTATATTTATGATCTATGGTATTGAAGAACCTTGATCTATTTTGACATATTATTTGATATTACCAGCTGAAGAAGGCATTTACTTCAGCGGCAGAAGCTGGATTTATTTTGATGTGCATTATAGAAGATGTGTGTATGCGAGGGTTTTTTTACACCAGAAATTTTCCCTCCAATTTTATTTACCACATGCTCATAAACACATACCACCAAAAAATGAAACCGCTTCTTCTGTTTGGCCTTCAGATTAAGAAAACCAAATTGTAAAGTTCTGTTATCATTTTCCAAATTTTAGGTTTGTGTTGGTTTTAGTGCCAGGGTGAAAGCTTAACGAACCAATGTAGAAGCAATCCTGTCACTAGCACTTTTCTCTTTTAAGAGTTGTAGTAACTATACAATAAAGCTCTCTTTTGATTATTTAATCTTCCTTTATAACAGACTGATATGAAAATAATATAATTGTGATAGTTTTGTTGATTTAAAGTAGTGAAGGTTTTGAGACAGTAGAAGCTAGAATTTGGTTTGGGTTCTGTTCGTTGGGAATACAAATAGGCATATACAGCTGTCTAAACAGTATTGTGCCTTTGGCATGCCTTAAGGCAGGCACAGGCAAACTCCGGGCCTCAAGATGTTTGGGACTACAATTCCCATCATCCCTGACCACTGGTCCCGTTAGCTAGGGGTGATGGGAACTGTAGTCTGAAACACCTGGTGGCCCGGAGTTTGCCTATGCCTGCCTTAAGACTTAGTACCCCCCATAAACTTTGGACCACAACTCCCATCAGCCCCAATTCAATGGGCAGAGATAATGGGAATGATAATCCAGAATATCTGTCTACTTCAGGTGTTACTATAGTATTTTGACCTTTTTGCTTTAACAGCTGGCTGATGGGTTTGATTAAAAATTAGTTCATACCTTCATAACTCACATATGCATGATTATCATGAAAAGAAGGAAATATGACCTATACCCATATGTGGTTTCTGCAAATCACCCTCATTGTAAGTGATAGAAACAACATAGGAAGCTGTTTTATACTGAGTTAGACCCCTGGTCCATCTAGCGCTGTACTGTCTACATGGAGTGGCACCAGCTCCAGGTTTTCTAGATAGGACATGCCCAACTGTACCTGGCGATGCCAAGAAATGAACCTGGGACCTTTGTATGTAAAAAAACCAACAATACATCGACATTCTCAAGGGGATAAGCCAAACTTCGTGGCCTGGTAGTTGTTCATTATGCAAGATCAAGAAAGGGACACTGAGCTCACCTCTCCAGTGCACTAGAAACACATACACGGCCCACAATCCAGTTTAGGTAATTGGTGTGTAGTAGGCTTCCTTTTGTGTAAACCAGGTGTTGAAAAAATGCATATACCTTACAGCAGAGGTGCAGAACGTTTTTTGGACCAGGAGCTACCTACTCATCCAGGTAAATGGCACATGACTGGTGACAATGGGCTTAAGCATACAGAATTTCTACCTGGATTGGGTCTTCAGAGAATCAGCATATGACATCTCAAATCATTCAGAGAAAAGAAGCCCTTGTGCACAGTCTTTTCCTTCAGATGCTTATACCCCCACCCTTTCTTCCTTTCACTGTATGGCAGCTCATTTGGGACCTCTGTTAACAACTTTTACTTCCAGGTTCAAAGGGAGATGTACAAAATAGGGAAAGCATGGTATCAGACATAAATTTTATTATAAATAGGAAACAATGAAACACTGGGAGTTGGAAAAACATTCAAGGCAATCTGCTGGTCCAAGGCATTTGTGGAGACATTGTGAATGAATCTTTTCTGTAAAGCCAGTACTTATTTATGCAAATAGGCATCCAACCAGAGCTCTCCAGAATCCTTCAGGGAACTGCAGTGAGAGAAAGGGTGGGGTGGGAGAAAACTAATTAAGTGTTGTGGAAAAGAAAGGGTAAGATGCCAGAGATACAATCAAGTTAAATAGAGAGGTAGGAATCTGGGTAAAGATCAAGAAAGCAGAAATCTATAGCTCAGCAGTAGTCAACCTTTTTTTGCCACTAAAGCTGTATGCAGTTCCCCAACTGGCCATGAGCCAGCCACAAGCCAGCTGCAAGAATGGTGAAAGGGGGTGTGGCGGCTACTTATTTTAATTTCAAAATTTACAAATCGCCCTGTATTTAAAAAATACCTGAGGGATGTACAGGAATAGAAAACACCACAAGTAATAAAAAACAAAGTTGGAAACCATGAAAGCAACCAGAATTAAATGCTGCAGAAACGACTAATTCAGGAAGGCCTGGGAAAAGGCTGCTGAAACACTGAAAATGATGCTTCCAAGTCATTCTTTGTTGTGTTATTTCTGGAATTGCACCTTTTCCTTTAAAACAGTTGAGCAGTTTGTGCAGTGGCTGCTGGCCAGCCCCTGCCAATTGCTACCAGTTGTGTCTTCTGTGGGGGGAGGCAGCCCTCTACCACTGAGGGTGCTGCAGAAACAGAAATGGGTGCCCCTGTGTTTTGTCAGAACTTGGGAGACACTGGAGCAGACAGGAGCATTCTGGAAGCATTACAGCATTCTCCATCTGACTCGACAGCAGTGGCTTGGCAAAATATCTGCAAAAGCAGTGCCAGCAAAATTTAATGGGAGCAGTGGGATGCTAAAAGCTGCTTGGCCGGTCTGATCATGCCACTGGTTTATCCACCCCTGCAGGAAATGAGAGTAAGCTGCCTTATCTTCCCACTGCACATCTGTATCTTTATGCCACATTTCTCCTTTGATACATACCGTAAAATATCTGCAAAGGCTGTCAGCAGGGGCTTGCACTTGTATTCAATGCCATGTTTGGCACACAGAGACTTAACCAGAGGGACCACCTTCCAGTAGTTGTGCCGGGGCATCGTAGGGAAGAGACTGGCGGGGGAAACCAAAACAATTCTGCCTCAAGTTCTGCTAATCACATTTGGTGTAGAAATCATAGACAAGGCAGTTATCCAGAAAACCGAACAATAGAAAAATTGCTTCACATACTGGACGTTTGTTCTTCCTACAGAGAATCACACAGCATGAAAAGCATTCCTAGGATGTGTTGGCTTGGATCCAAAGAAGTTTCACACAACTGGCTCAGCATGTCTACTTGCACAAGGCAACGCGCTGATTTCTCTTGTGTTCCCTTTCCCAATGTAGCCTCTCGCACCATGTCTTGATTCACACTATTCCAGAGAGTCCTGCATCCCTAGGGAGTTGCTTTTCAAGGGGAAGGAGGGTAAGAGCCAGAAAAGCCCCATTGTGTCAGCAGGGTTCCACTCACCTACATACAACCCAGAGAAAGCACTTCCTTGCAGTCCATACTTACTGGTGTTCAATCTGGAAATTCAAGTGCCCAGTAAACCAGTCGTTGAACCAGGAATGATCAACGTTACATGTCGCCTGGAGCTGAAATAACAAGTGGGTGCATGTTGAAGCACTTGACAGCTTTCTCTCTCTCCTGGTATGACGGCTATGGGTTGCATTCAGTCAAGTCATTGTGCAAGTAGAAGAAATTGTACTCAATGCAAAAGAACTCTCTCTCCCCCCACCACATCCCTCCCAATGCGCCCCGAGTTCCCCCTCAACCCTCCAGAGCAGATTTGGCAGTGGGGTACAGAGGGAGAAAGGGGCAGGGAAATGCTGTTGTGTGAGCAGAAGTTTTGCTTGTTGGATTCAACCCTAAGTTACTACCAAATCCCTCCCATAGTTAGCAAAGCAGACTAGATGTCAGCACCACATTCTTGCAATCCTCACGTTACCAAGGAGCCTACAGTGGGTCCCATG